ATAAGAGATTTTGGACCTCCGTTACCATCCCACAGTAAATGAAAATATTTTATTACCCATAATTCTGTATTGAAGATGTTTATTATTAGCAGAGTCAGAACACAGTGACAGAGGTAAATGAGGTCTTCCTGAAATAGAATTTTGTCATGTCACCCTCCTTTAAGTGCTCTCAGAAGTATCTTGTTTTCTATAGTTCTCATCCTGGAATTTCATACCTGCCATAGGATGGTATCTGCCTAATGTTGTCTCCTTTGAGTCCCTTTTGTCTTCTTTCTGCCTCAACGCCTTTCTTTCAAAGTCAGTCGCACAAGGCATCTTTGACTGTGTCTTAACATGTGTTATTTCTTTTATATTCTGGAAAATCCTTTTCTCTTTCACTTTGTCAAAATTCTTCTAATTCTTCAAGATGGATTTGAGCTCCTACTATTTCCTATACTTTTTCCTGATAAGCTACAGGCCAGAGAGGGGTATATGTGTATGATTTTAATGTAAATGTAGTTTACCTCCTCAACTAAATTGTAATCCCTTTGCTAGAAGAGGCCCTCTTATAAACTTCTGAGCATTCATCATGATGTCTTTCATGATGATTTGCATTCATTAGATATGTTTGTCAGTGTTTGATTTTGGACTGGGGGAGTGGAGTGAGGATCTGGTACAGCAGCAAAAGTATATGTGATCTAATTACCAAATTGTTAGCTCCTTTTTACTTACTGTTTTAGTTAACATATATCTAAGTAGCAGAAGCCGAACAATACGATTGGGGGTTGGAAATGGGAATAAGGCTGCAGCCCTGTAATTTTCCACTAGTTGCCAGGACATAGAAAGGGTCTGTATTGTTTTTATTCTTCAGTTTAACAGTGTGTGGTTGTTTTGGTGTTTTATTTCCACATATTCTTTTATATTAATGTATCAGTTTTTATTTTGAAATACTACATTTTAATAGATTTATATATTACAGCCATTTAAACATAGCTATATTACCTTAAGGGACTAAAGCATTTTATTAAAATAATTTTAAAGGGCAAGAACTAACATTTGCTGAGCATCTACATACCCAATACTATTCCATGTATTTAATATTATTTTCTTTAATCCTTAAATAATTTAGTGATGTAAGTTCTCTTCCTGTTGTACTTGTGAGAAATTGCCTAAGGGCACCTAGTATTGATAGAGCTTATATTTGAACTCTCAGACTGTCTGGTTGTGCCAAAACATTGTTTGCTAATGATTAGAGATTTGTAGAGAGCAGAAGCCTAGAGAGTAACTGCTAAATAGAAGATGCTTAATTGTGTAAACTAAAAGGATCTTTTGGAATTGTGCTTTTGTTACTTTTCTCACTGTGATTTTCAGTTTCATTCTTTGCCCATTATCCAAATTCATACTTAAGCTGCCATCTTTTAAGTTGTTCATTTATCAAAATGAACAAACAGAAACGTTGCAGGCTGAAACAACTGAAAGGAGAAAGAGTTGGTTGATCCTATGACGTTTTGGGGGGAGAATTTAAATTCTGTTTTTATAAAGTTCAATATTAGGCATTTAGTGTAGCCTTTAGATCAGCAAGTAAATTTTAATAGGAAGGCCAATATTTGGGCATAGTACAGCAAAATTGGCGTTAATTTATTAAGATGTAAGATAATGCCGAATAATTGTTTAAGATAATACTAAACTAGGAATAAAATCAAGTCAGACATGTTTTAATATATCATAAGCTTCTAAGAAAGTAGTATTTTAGAGTGTTACAGTGCATAATACTTAGCACTGTGTGTTAGACACTCTCTGATGGAATGATGAACCTCCCCCTAATAGAGAACAGAAGTTCACTGTTAAGTATATGACATTTTAGATGAGGTAGCAGTACATTTTCCAGGAGATGCAGTTGGAAATAACTGCAGTAGAAACTGATGAGACCTTAGATTAGAACTTTACATATTTCTTATTTTTTTACATAAGATAATAGTAGAAGCTATAAAATTTGATAGGCTTTATTTTTTTTTAATCAGAGATAGAGCAGAGCAGGGGGGAGAGGGAGAAGTAGGTTCCCCACTGAGCTGGGAGCCCGACGTAGTGCTCAATCCCAAGACCCTGGGATCATGACCCGAGCCGAAGGCAGACGCGTAACCAACTGAGCTACCCAGGCACCCTGATTTGATAGGCTTTAAAGGGTGGTTTGGAAAGAAGAACTCAGGAAGCCTTGGAAAATATCCATCCAGGTTTGAAGAAGGAAGGGGAACCAGTAAAATGAAGAGATAAAAAGCTATCCTGGCTATAGATAAAGAGATAAGGTCACATGGTGCCATGAAAATCCAGTGCATTTGGATAGTGGTTAAGAGTATCAAATGTTTAAAAAAAAAAAAAAAAAGCAAAAGAGCACAAGAACTGAGAAAAGCAAGGAATTATCATTGACCGTTTTCAGTAGATTTATTTCATCTGAGTCATAGATTGGAAGTCCGTGGTGTAGAGAGTTAAGGGAATGAGTAGTGATAAGAGGTGGAGGCAGCTGTTACAGATCACATTCAAAGAATATGGCAGTAAAAACAGAATCATTCAACTTTTAAACTGTGTTTCTCTAAGTTGAGAGAAATTGTGTTGTCATAAAGGCAGAAAAAAAAGGACCCTACAGAGAGGGAGATACTGAAGATCCTGGGAAGGAAGGAAGTAGTATTGAGAGGAAGTTCTTATAAGGGGGTTAGAGGAAGAGGCTTGAGGTCAAGAAATAATCTCTGTATTAGGATGTGGGTAAAAATACAGAGTTTTAAAAACTAAACTTTCCCTACTAAAATAAAGATGTTTCTGTTGTATGTCTAATAAAGGAAAGATTTTCACTCTGATCACAGTTTCCAGGCAGTAATACAGTGGGGCCAGAAATTCTTTCTTGGAGCTCTGCTTTTAGGAGGGATCAGAAATGTATTCATTCTCCAAAAATAAGGAGTACTGTGGGTTTTTGTTTTGTTTGTTTTTTTTTTTAACATCGGTTTAAAATTTTTACATGGATTTAAAATTTGGACAAGAATACCATTCATTCATTCAAATGGCTAAGCTGTAGGATCTAAGGATAAGAACTGTTACATAAATTTTCATTTCCATTTTTAGGGAGGTTTTGTGAGTGTCTAAGGAAATTATTTCCTTTTAGAAATTATTTAACAAATATTTGTTGAGTTCTTTGTCAGACTAATAGAAGTGGTCGGCACAGGGGCACCTGGGTGGCTCAGTTGGTTAAGCGGCTGCCTTCGGCTCAGGTCGTGATCCCAAGGTCCTGGGATGGAGCCCCACATCGGGCTCCCTCCTCGGCGGGAACCCTGCTTCTCCCTCTCCCTCTGCCTGCCTCTCTGCCTGCTTGTGCTCTCTATCTCTCTGTCAAATAAATGAAATCATAAAAAAAAAAAAAAAAGTGGTTGGCACATAAATGGATGAATTAGGTTCCTGCTATTCTAGAAGTCACATTCTAGTTAGATATGTAAATAAATTATTGACCCTTTTTCTCTGCTTAGTACTTATACTCTTAAATACCAAAGTAATTTTAAGTTATAACATAGACATAAAGTATGTCCAGGAATGATCTGTTGCAAGAAAATATGAATGTAAAAAATCTAGACTCATGTCTCAAATTAAGGAGAAATTATTAACTTTAAAACAGTAGTTAATGTAGGAATTGGAAGAGTGTTTATTCTTTTAAATACAGATTATACAGCTGGCTTAATGGAAGTCCTGTTGTATCTGATATGAACAGATAAACGTTCAGTTAATATAATCTCTTCTATCAGATATAATTGAAATATTTATTGATATATGCAAGTGAAAATACAGGGATATAGCACAGTTTTGCTCACTCAATTTTTAAGTACTTTGTTTTCAAGTTTGGCTGTTCTTGGAAGGTCAGCAAAAATTTTAAAATTTTAGAGAGGAGAGATTGAAGATAACATCTGGTTGTCATTCCATTTAGGCACTCACAGTATTGACTTACATGGACTATTTCCTACTAATTTTATGGATAAAAAAAATTCATACTTGCATAAAAGATTGTGATACTGTTTTTAGGAGGGTGTGGGGCAGACATTGTTTGCATGTACTTGTTTTTAGTACCAGAATAACATTTCTGAAAGCCACTTCGCCTGGCACACAGGCCACTTTAATGGTAGAAATGGTCTCAGTTGGGGACTTGTATTGGTGCTTTAGAAGACTTACTCCATCTTTTAGAACAGAAGATTAGTACATGTTGCTGGAATGTCAGGGACAGAAAAGCCTTTGCCACTTCCAGGGAAGTCGCTGACCTTTATAATGAAAGTGTCAGAATGAATTTAATAATGTTGCTACATAGTTGGAAAGCGTAGGTACATCCTAGTTACTTGAAACTTAGTTGCAGAGAGTGTTATAAACTCCAGATACATTTACAGTTATAAGTAGGAGACTGAGAGATTTATTGAGAGCCCTTTTATATGTGGGCTTTCAAAAAAATTTTAAACAAAAACAATGAAATAAGCAATATAGTAAGTGGAAGGAGTCCTAAAAAAGATAATAACTATGTTTCCAAGCTGTGTGATCTTATATGAATCTCACTTTCCTTCAGTGTAAAAAAGACAAAACTCTCAGGAATTAAAAAATATGTTATAAAACAATATGTAATAAAATAATGTGTACGCAGGTACATTATAATAAAAACAAATGTACAAGCAAATTTAAGGTAATGATATTGTAGTTTTAATTTTTTACATAGTCACTTAATAGAAGAGATACATACTAAGCTAATATTGCCAGAATTTTTAGAAGGAAGGGTAGTAAGAGATTGGAGAAATAGAGATAAAATATGAGCTGTATACTAAGTATTTGAAATCATTCTTGTTAAATTAGCATGTTGTCCTTTTGTGAAAGAAAGCTTTGTAATAGGAATAACCAAGATGACACTTCTCAGTGTTGATACAAAGGCAGTTGGATTTGTTATTTTTATATGCATTTGAAGAATAAGTACACATCTTTACCTCTTGTCTTTAAACTTAAACTTGAAGGTTATGAATACTGATGGCACTGGGAGACGAGTACTAGTGGAAGACAAAATTCCTCACATATTTGGGTTTACTTTGTTGGGTGACTATGTTTACTGGACTGACTGGCAGAGGCGTAGCATCGAAAGAGTACACAAACGAAGTGCAGAGAGGGAAATCATCATAGATCAGCTTCCTGACCTCATGGGCCTAAAGGCCACAAACGTTCATCGAATCATTGGTAAGTAATTCCCAAATTCCCTCAGAGATGGAAACCAAGAATGAGAAAAATACAGAGATAGTGGCTTGTACAGCAGCACTGTAAATTGTTGATGTTTTATGGGAATATAGAAATCATCCGTTAATTCTTTTTTAACCAGGAGTAGGCCTTTTAAATGTAGGCTTAGTATTCAATGTAATGCATTGGCCCATTTCTGACCTGGGCCCGTGCACCAGTCCTTAGGCAGTCTGGTGGCATCCCAGGAGGTCACCATATTGATGCTAACTTCTTGTGGACAGCCAACTAACATAGTGCATGCACTGCAACTAGAACTCCTGGGCTCAAGTGTTCCTTCTGCCTCAGCCTCCTGAGTAGGTGGGACTACAGGCCTGCACCACTGCCTGGCTTTTTATTCCCTATTAATTTCATAGTGGTTATTTATGTGAGATTAGAATTGAAAGTATAGTTGGGAGCAGATATAATCATGTCTTTGTGAACCACATGCCTAGTCATTTTCAAGTGAAAATATGTTGATTGTGTCGATGTGTTTGTCCTTCTGTGCCCTTTTATAATTAATACACCTTTTAGGTTCCAACCCCTGCGCTGAGGAAAATGGGGGATGTAGTCATCTTTGCCTCTATAGGCCTCAGGGCCTCCGCTGTGCCTGCCCCATAGGCTTTGAACTCATCAGTGACATGAAGACCTGCATTGTCCCAGAGGCTTTCCTTTTGTTTTCACGGAGAGCAGATATCCGGCGAATTTCTTTGGAAACTAACAATAATAATGTGGCCATTCCTCTCACTGGTGTCAAAGAAGCTTCTGCTTTGGATTTTGATGTAACAGACAACCGCATTTACTGGACGGATATATCACTCAAGGTTAGCCAAAAGAATTGGAATGTTACAACTGAAGACTAGAAGGGAGAGCTTTAAAATGTCTGAGTCTTCATACCATGATCACTCTCTCTCATTGCTTAGTAGGCAGAATTCAACAAAAGCCCATAACTTTTTAAAGGAAGTCAAGGGGAAGGTCCATTCAGTATTTAATTAAGTGCTTTTTTTAAAATACAAGATACTTTGCTTGAGTGTTCTAAATCTGCAAGACATAAACTTCCCCTACTTTGTTCCATATGAGGATAATGAGTGACATTTTCTACAAGTAAAGAGTAAGCAGTTATATAAATGGCTTATAGAAGCTTGACTCTTATTTTAAACAAAATTTTGTAGTCTGGCTGAGGTAGAAAACTCCAGAGTTAAGAGTATACCTTTATTTTCTTTTTCTTAAAATAAATACTGAAAAACATACTGACTCAATAACAAGGAGGAGCTCCTGACCAGAAAATCTGGAGAATCATCTTTCCTTCTTCTAGATAGCTTTGGGCTTACTTCAGATAACTTGTGTAAAATTTGTTTAATAGGCAAAAATCATGGAGTATTGGAGCCAGAGTTGAATTTTCTAATGACGTTCAGTAAAATCTATTAATTGAGTGAATGAATAAAGTAAGTAAATGTATTTTGGCTTGTATTGTATGGCCTTCTAAGTTTCCTCATCTTGCAAATAGAGATAATGCCTATCTTGCAGGGCTATTTTGAGGATTAAATGAGAAAATATATGTGTACAAAGTACTTAAGGTAGTGCTTGCCAAGAAGTAGCAGCTATTATTAATAGCTTGAATTATGATTTTAAATTTTGGGGGATTCAGAATTACAGTGGTAATAATGTGATAATGGTTATATACATTTTATAATGTATAAGGTTGTTAAGATCTTTTCAGATTGACACAATGACATGGCATACTCTCAAGAACCTTCAGGAAGCTGACTACCAGTTATGAGTCTGCAACATTCTGGTCATATCTTTTTCACTTGATTACTAAGCAAAGTCATTCTACTATCTTACTAGAATAAGTTTTTGGTCCTTAAGAATTATAAAAATTTCTCCCTGGCTTGATAATAAAACTTGAGAGCACAGTTGCATTTATTAGAGATTGACATCAGGTTTTTTCTGTGCTTGTAAAATATGTGACTTGTATTAAGAAACTATGCCCTGGCTCTTCTGGATCCTCCCACCCAACAAAAACCAAAACAAACATTCTTTCTGGATAGTGTTTTGTACTTAAGCCGTGTGATTTTGTTGTTAATCTTATTTTTGCAGACCATCAGCAGAGCCTTTATGAATGGCAGTGCGCTGGAACACGTGGTAGAATTCGGCTTAGATTATCCAGAAGGCATGGCAGTAGACTGGCTTGGGAAGAACTTGTACTGGGCAGACACAGGAACGAATCGAATTGAAGTGTCAAAGTTGGATGGGCAGCACCGACAGGTTTTGGTGTGGAAAGACTTAGATAGTCCCAGAGCTCTTGCATTGGACCCTGCTGAAGGGTAAACAACTTTTATGTATGCGTTCTTTGCAACTGTGTTGCACATAACCTAATTATGGATTGTATTTTTGATATCTTAAGTAGTGCTGATTAGGAATCTGATAACTAAACCATAAGTAGGCTTTATTTTATAACCCTTTAGTTGAGGGGTGCCTGGGTGGCTCAGTTGCTTAAGCATCTGACTCTTGATTTCGGCTCAGGTCATAATCTCAGGGTCATTAGATCGAGCCCCGCTTTGGGCTCTGTGCTGAGCATGGAGTCTGCTTGAGATTCTCTCTCTCCCTCTTCCACTGCTTGCACTTTTGCTCTCACTCTCTCTCAAATAAACTCTTTAAAACCCATTAGTTGAGATTTCACTGATTTAGAATAAGTTCGCTAAATTTTGCTCTTGTCATTACTAACATTAGGTAGAGAAAGATTAGTGAAATGGATTAGTATTTAAATATTACCAATCATACATACATGCTAATAAACGCCTTTTTAAAGGTATCAAGTTGCATTTGCTTGCACCCTCTCTCAAGTTAAACCAGATTCCAAAACCCACTGAAATAATGCCATGTACTAAGAAATAGTTGCATTTTAAAAAGCTCCATTTTAGAATAGTCATTAATTCAAAATGGACAATTAACTTGATCACTGTTATAAGCTTAGAGAACTTTGATATTAAATAGTAAACTTTTCAATAAATAGTAAGTTGTTTATTTACAACATGTTATGTTTTTCAAGGATAGGTGATCCTCTTACATGAATTAGCAAGTTTTAAAAAGCCAACAGCTAAGAAATCTGGAATTTGAAGAATAATTCCACTTTTATTTATTTTTTAAAAGGTTTTATTTATTTATTTGTGAGAGAGAGAGAGAGAGAGAGAGCGCACAAGCAAGGGGGAGTGGCAGGCAGAGGGAGAAGCAGGCTTCCTGCTGAGCAAGGAGCCTGATGTGGGACTTGATCCCAGGACCTGGGATCATGACCTGAGCCGAAGGCAGACGTTTAACCGACTGAGCCAACCAGGTGTCCCAGTAATTCCATTTTTATTTTATTTAATTTTATTTTTTTAAAGATTTTATTTATTTATTTGACAGAGAGAGACACAGCAAGAGAGGGAACACAAGCAGGGAGAGTGGGAGAAGGAGAAGCAGGCCTCCCACGGAGCAGGGAGCCCGATGTGGGGCTCGATCCCAGGACCCTGGGATCATGACCTGAGCCGAAGGCAGATGCTTAATGACTGAGCCACCCAGGCGCCCCCCAGTAATTCCATTTTTAAAAGCAGAATTTAACAGTTTGAACATATAAGCATATTTACCATATATGTAATTAAAAATAGTTTCCTTGAAATCACATTAATTGCATTATTAGCTAGTTACCATCTTGTTAGAAGGCCATAGCAAAGAAAGTTCTCTGTGCTGACATGTTGTGGTTGGATTATGGTGATCTGCACTCTAAGCATTAGTTACCAGACAGATTTAATAGCTGGGACTAAGGACGCTAGTTTATGTGGCTGCTGGCAACCGTGACATTTCTCTCACAGTCGTTTCTCCTTGCTTCTTGTGTTCATGTGCCTGTCAGCTGACAAGTGCAAATACAAACAAAGCCCAGGACTAACTTTAATTTTCAGAAAAGCATGTTCATGTGTTGCTGTCAAGTCAGCCATCAGCTGACAGGCTGAGGAGTGAGTGTGTCCTCAGGTATTTGATGAGAGGTGGCATGTGGAGTGCTTTCCTAGTCCCAGTCCTCAGAATGTCTCAGAACTAGCACCCCACTAGTTTACTTGAAAAGGCATTTAGCTAAGGATTAGGTTCTAGTTCTCGCTCTGCCATGTGACTGAGTTGAAGAAATTAGATCATTCACATTTATTGCTTTAGCCTCTTTACATCTGTAAAAAGCCTGTACCACAGTGTGCTCTAAGGTCAATGTGAAAAACTTGAAAAAATAAAACAAAAGCAAGAGAGTATTCTAAAATTTCACAGGGATTATAGTCGTAGTGTCACTGCCCAGCTGACACGATAAAGGGTGATTCCTCGCTCTTATACATATATTATATTCCCTTGCACTGTGTGACCAAATACATTTCAAACTTTGCTTTTTAACTTCATTTAAAGGCTATTAATTTTTACCTTTGATGTACTACTACAACTTGTTTTTGGGGAGAATTGATTATATAAGTTGAAAAATAAGTCTAAAAATTTAAAAACTCAAATTACTTGTGTTCAGAAATATATAAAAAGATGTAAAAATATTCAGAACTGAATCAGATTCTGAGACAGAGCTTTAATTTTTTGGTATCTTCTTGAATATTAGTTTTATAAATGCAAGAGCAGCAGTAAGGAAATGATTGGTTTATTTCCAGTTTCTGGGTTTTGGATGGAACAAATTCATTGGAAAGACTAAAGAAAGCTGACTTACTTCCTTTTTAGGATATGAGAAAAAATATTTAGTTGAGGGTGCCAAAATAATTGAAAAAATTATAACAATGATTTGGTTTTGTCAAATTCTTTGTTTTAAAGTGTATTTTCTTTATTTAGTTACTATGCACGAATATGGCCCTTTCTCCCAAATAACCAAAAGTCAAATGTTAAATATCTATTGTTTTGAATTTAGATTTATGTATTGGACTGAATGGGGTGGAAAACCTAAGATAGACCGAGCTGCCATGGATGGAAGTGAACGTACTACATTAGTTCCAAATGTGGGGCGGGCAAATGGCCTAACTATTGATTATGCTAAAAGGAGGCTTTATTGGACAGACCTGGATACCAACTTAATAGAATCTTCAAATATGCTTGGTAAGCTGTATTTCTTTTTATTCAGACAGATAGTATGTTATTCTTTCTATGCAGAAATCTGTGGCTGCTATCTACTATTGGTTAGGTACTATTAATAGAACTTCATATGAGTGTCTAGATTCTTCCTCTGGCATTGTATCCTGTTTATTATTATTAATAGTGGGCCAGGTATTGGATTCACATCTCTTTATTTTGTGGAAATTTCATTATTGTTGGGCTTGTAATGGAATTTATAACTCCCTAGATATTCCTGAAGTGACTTTGTACTAGTAAAATACAGTATATTCATTTCCATCTTTTTATTGAAGGAAGAAGAAAAGTTCAACTTATAGACCCTTATGGAAAGAAAATAAGACTGCAGTCAAAATAGATCATTTGTAGGAGTTTAAACAAACTCAGTGATTTATAGCAAGAATATAAGTTTGAGGCATGGGGTCAGACTCCAGATGGATTGATTTCAGAGGACTGGTCTGGTTTTAAAATTGCTTTTAACTAAATTGTTCTATTTTAAATTGTTTACAAATGTAATATTTTATATGTTACAATTTTTTTTTCTTTTGGCCAATAAGACTTATACTCTCACATGTTTCATACCTCTGCTTCTGCCCTGTCTGCTGCCTTTCTGAAAATAGGACTCAACCGTGAAGTTATAGCAGATGACTTGCCTCATCCTTTTGGCTTAACTCAGTACCAAGATTACATCTACTGGACAGACTGGAGCCGACGCAGCATTGAACGTGCCAACAAAACCAGTGGCCAAAACCGCACCATCATTCAGGGCCATTTGGATTATGTGATGGACATCCTCGTCTTTCACTCTTCTCGACAAGCAGGGTGGAATGAGTGTGCTTCCAGCAATGGGCACTGCTCCCACCTCTGCTTGGCTGTACCAGTTGGAGGTTTTGTTTGTGGATGCCCTGCCCACTACTCTCTTAATGCTGACAACAGGACTTGTAGTGGTAAGCTGCATTCTCCACCCCAAAGCAAAGTAGAATTCAAGGAGAAAACAGGATTTTGAAAACACTGTGTAGTTCATATTCTTTCTAGAGTAAAAAGTTGTCGAAGTCCAGAGTTGATCGTTTGTTTAACAAAAGAGAAAGACTAAAGATGGAAAAAATGCAAGTTTTTGTAACTTACTATTTGATGATAGCTAGTTGCTGTTATGGAAAAATTGATATAATAAAAAAATTAAGTCTTTTACTTTTGAGCATTAAATATTTAGTGCACAATTGCATAGCTTCATTGAGAAAGGCAGTCAAACATGCATTATTCTATATAATTTATATTTATTCATTTTTATAAAAGAAGAGCAGTAAAAACAGTACAGCAAAGAAAATCTTCAAAATACAACTTCCTTGTCCTTTGAAGTTCATAGAATAGACTAAAGGTAAAAAATTTAAGTGTATAAGCGGCCAAGTGGAAAATGCATATGAGTAAATTTAGCCTAGTATGAAACAGTTGTAAATATATGGGGAACTAGAGAGCGTATGCTCTGAACGTAGTGGGTGGTTGCTACTTAATTCCAGTTGATGTTACCAGATCTCCTCATCCAGTCATGAATCCAGATTTTTTTTTTTTTGGCTGCAATATCTTCTGATATTTAAATATTAGCAATACATATTATATATTAAACACATAACCACACACACACTGTGCTAATAACAGCAAAACACAGTGTGTAACAAACGTTGGCTTGGGGTAACCTGGTTTATGACTCAAGTATATGTGAAGGCCCATGTCTTGATCGATAAACAAGAACTAATTGGTAGATATGATAAATAGAGAATTCATGGCAGAGAATTGTAGGATATGGTTCACTAGGATAAATGGTAACAAAACTGATATAGAATAATAGATTAACTATTAATTATTCAATTAGTAATATATAACATGTATAATAAATATGTAATATAGAAAACATTACATATAAATAATAAACATATATTATATATCATATATAAATATATAAACATATTTAAGTATATTATATAATTATAGTAAATAATATAACAAATAATAATATGATATAAAATAATATTAACTATTCAATTAACTATTGAAATTATTCTGTGCCTGAAAGTATAAGAAGTCACATAGGAAAGGATTCAGTGTGTTCTGACACAAGGCTTCAGTTGTAAAAAAGACTATACATTTATAGTTTAATGATTTGGAGTCTTTGCCACATATTAGTTTTGTGTTTTACTAAAGCAAGTCACATAAATTTTGTTTTATGTGTGGGGTGTGGGGGCCGGGCAGAGAGAGAGAGAGAGAGAGAATCAGATTCCCCGCTGAGTGGGAGCCTGAAGCAGGGACTCGATCCCAGAACCCTGAGATCATGACCTGAGCCGAAGGCAGACGCTTAACCCACTAAGCCACCCAGGTGTCTCAAGCCACAAATTTTTTAAGCCTTAAATTTCTCATTTGTAAATGGGAATAATACTAACTACCGTGTAAGGTTGCTTTGAATATTAAGGTATCACCTGATTTGATTGCTGTGTAGACAGTATTTGAAGAGAAAAAGACGTGGTAGCAGGGAAGTCAACTAGACTGGTGTGGTAATCAGGTAGACTTGCTTGGGATGTTGGCAGTGGTGATGGGATGGTGGTAGTGGTGATGGAGAGAAGCTGTGGATTAAAGGTATGTTTTGAAGCTAGAGTGAACAGAACTTGTGAATGGGTTGGATGTGAGGAAGAAGAGGAGGGAGGGAGCAAGGATGACTTAGATTTTTGGTTTGAATAGTCGATAGGAGATAGAAGACTAGAGAGGAAGCCTCGTTTTCAGAATGAAATAAAAAGTTTATTTTTCAGCATGTTTGTATTGATTTTCTTATGGGACATTGAAATAGATACATTAAATAGGTAGTTGGATAGAAGAGGGGAGACATGAGGTTGGAGATAAATAAATTTTGGAATTGCTTCCATGTATTTAAAATGGGTGAGATTACTTAGGGAGAAGGTTTAGAGCTGGGTCAGCAAACTTTCTGTAAAGGGCCAGAGAGTAAATATTTAGGCTTTGTGAATCATACAGTTTGTCATACCTGCTCAGCTCTGTCCACTGTTGCATGAAAGCAGCCATTATCAAGACATTTCTAAAAGGTGTCTGAATTCTGATAAGCTTTCTTCCAAAACAGGCAGCAGGCCAAGATACAGCTATAAGCTATAGTTTGCCAACTCCTGGTGTAGAGACAGGAACGGATCTGGTAACCTAAGAAACTTTGAGGAGAGAAAGCACAGCCAGAGAGGTAAAAGGAAAAGTAGGCACCAGAAATAAGATTGTTCCCAAAAAGAACTGTGTTGAATGCTGCAGAGGTTGAGTTAGGTGAATCCTAAAATAGTATCCACTAGATTTTTGAATAAGGTGGTTATTAGTAACCCTTAAGAGTAATTGCAGGGAGATAATGGTGAAAGATTAGAGTTGGTCAGAATGTGAATGGAGAAAGGGAAAGGGAGGTAGTACCTTTTTCAAGAAGTTTGACTTTGAATGGAAGGAGAAAATAGAGATAATGACTGATGGAGGATGGAGACAAGGGGAATATGGAAAGACCTTTTGAGATTATTATTTTAGCTGCTGATATCTGTGCATATTAGTTGGTGAGTGAAGGCCATGAGAAATCAGTGCTTCCAGTCCCTAATATCCGTCTGTCTTTGGCTACCTTTTGGTGATAGATCACTAGTGTTTCAAGAGACTTTCTATTGTGTGCTCTTTCTATAATGAGTACTATTTAATATTTGTGTAGAGATATGTTAGATTCCAAGGCAGATTATGAGAGAATTTTAACACAAAGTACTTGCCGTCAGAAAGTTTTCCAGCACTGTGTGGGATTTACTCCTTGACCTGTGTTTCTTCTTTTTTTTTTTAAGATTTTATTTATTTATTTGAAAGAGAGAGAACGAGCAGGGGGGAGGAGCATGGGGAGAGGAAGAAGCAGACTTCCTGCTGAGCAGGGAGCCCTGATGTGGGGCTCTGTCCCAGGACCCTGGGATCATGAGCTGAGCTAAAGGCAGACACTTAACCGACTGAGCCACGCAGGCGCCCCTGACCTGTGTTTCAAAAGTGAAACCCGATTGTGTTGTTTCTCTGCTCAAAGCCTTGCCAATGGCTCGCCATTTCACACAAAATAAAAACCTAGTTTTTTCCCTCCCCTTTTGCTTCTCTAACCTCAGCTTCTACTCTTCTCTCCCTTGTTCTCTTCGTGACAGCCACACTAACCTCATTGTTATTTTCATATATGCCAGTACTTCCACCTCAGGACTGTTGTACTGCTTCTTGCCTTTTGTAATGTTTTTCCTGCAAATATTTACATGGATATACTTTACCTCCAAATCTTTGCTTAATTGTGACCTACACAGTGAGACCTGGTCTGCCCTATTTAAAGCAAATCATCCTTTCATCCTATCTAGCATTGCCAGTGTTCTTTACCTGTACTTTTTCTTTTTCCTGTAACACTTACTACTCTTTGATATCCTGTACAATTTATATACTCTAATACTTATAACTTCTTTATTATGTTAATTGCTTTTGTCTGTCTTCTGGAATATAAACTCCCTGAAGCAGCATTTTTTGTTTTGTTTTGTTTTGTGTTTTCACTTATACATCTTAGGTGCCTACAACAGTGCTTGGTAAATAGTAATGATTCAAGAAATCATTGTTAAATAAAAGGATGAAGAAGCAGGACAGGTCTTGGAAAAATACATGTGCTCTTCCATTCAACAACCTCGTGACCTTGGGGAAAAACTTAACCTTTCTGAGTTTGCTTACCTAAAAATGGACGTGATAATTTTGGGGATTAACATCTAGAATGATGAGTGACATGTTGGGAGGTCCTAAATAAATGTTTGTTTCTTTTCCTTCCCAATTCTCTGAAATAATTTTATTCTTTTACTTTCAAAAATTATGGCTACAGGGCTCTCCATAGTTATTGTCATCTAATGCTTATTTCTTTATGTGTTTATTCATTTATTCTTTCAATGAATATATATTGAATGTCTGCTACATACTGGGCATCATTTGAGCCAGTGGAAAATGTAGCAGTGGATGAAATAGACATTGGTCTCTGCCCTCATGGAGTTTCTATTCTAGTGAGACAGATATTGAACCAAATAAGTAAACTGTATCACAGATTAGAAGGAGATAAATGTTATGGAGAAATATTAAGAGCAAGAAAGGGTGAGGAGGAGGATTGATTACAACATTAAATATGATGATCAGAGAAATCCTTACTGATAAAGTGACATTATGTCAAGAACTGAGAGAGGTAAGGAAATGAGAGCTAGCTGGATATCTGGGAGAAGACCTATTAAGTAAAGGGGATAGCAAATGCAAAGGCCTGAGGAGGAAGACTGTCTGGCATATTAGAGGAACACCTAGGAGGCCAGTGTCGCTGGCATAGAGTGAATAAAGAGATTAAGTCATGGAGGAAACAGAAAGCCAAATTGTGGAATCCCTTGTTCATTACTGAGGTGGGATATCTCTATGGCAGCTTGGTGCAAATTAGGAAAAGATGTTTCCTTTGAGCAGTCATAGGCACATAGGTGCATGGCTTGGTTAATGTCGTGTGGACTGGAACTTGGTCCCTACTCAGTGCCCTTGGCATAGTGCACAAATGGCGCAGTCAGATGTGATGAACTTGGCCTTGTGGTTTATGAAGGTCTTACACAAGAGCTTCGCCTCCCTTTAAGCTGCAGGTGAACAATTGTACCTTCAAAAGAGAACTGAAAACCTCCCTCCTACGTAACACCTCATCTTCCAGCTTGTGTGTGTAGCTGTCTTCATTGTGGGAATGCAAAACTCAGACAGCCTGGATGACAATTTTTAAAGTACCGTTTTGCATTAGATAAGGGGGTTAGAGGTTATATAAATTAAGATGGATTTAAGGTTACAAAATTGCATATTCTTTGTCCCTTTAAGCACTGAATGACTGAATCAAGTCTTCATTGAAATAAGTCAGAACATTAGCTTCCTCTTAGAAATATTGAGCCAATCAATTGTAATTGTTAATGTCATCCATAGACTTTTTGAAACAAGCCTTTACGGCGCCTGGGTGGCTCAGTAAGTTAACCATCTCCTCAGGTCATGATTCCAGGGTCCTGGGATCGAGCCCCACATCAGGTTCCCCGCTCAGCAAGGAGCGTGCTTCTCCCTCTGCCTCTGCCACTCCCCCTACTTGTGCTCTCTCTTTCTCGCTCTCTGTCAAATAAATAAATAAAATCTTAAAAAAAAAAGCAACAAGCATTTATTTGGAGCCGTATTTGGCTTTACCTTAATCTACATTTCTAGAACACCTAACTATAGAATCTAATTGAAGATTAAAACTTGATTAAAAAAAAAACCCAGTAAAACATAGTAGGAGCCAAATATATATTTGATTAATTGTTTCCCAGGCAGGAAAAGTTGACAACTAAAACTCTGGAGTCTAAGCCTCATTGTATGTCTTAGTATAAGTGGTGATTTTCTGTTGGAAACTTACAGTTTAGAGCCTGCCCCCCCCCCTTTTTTCTTGATTTACAAGAAAATAGTACTGCCAAAAAAAAATTCTTAAAAGAAAGATAGCTACTCTGTTGTGACATGTATTCTTACTACTTAAGGCATGGGTTCTACTAAAATTGCTAAAAGTTGTTAAGTCAGTATGTGATGGAGTCGACTCCAGATAATGAAGGGTTCCAGTGGGATCGTTGAAATACTTACTCAGTCTTCCAAGCTGGGTATGGGCTTTTAGCCAGTGAAGACCTTACATAAAGCAGAATTTCTGTGTTGTGAATGTAACATTGTGTGTCAACTATGCTTCACTTAAAAAAAAAAAAAGGAATTTCAGTGTTGTGAATACCAAGTTTCTTTATGAATACCAATGAGTTTCTTTGGGATTGAAGTCAATTGTACATTTGGGTGTAAATGTAAAGTAAACCAGGGAACCACACATAATGGAGTTGTGAAGAGTGGGGCTTAGGAAGAAATAAAGCAAGGAGTTCTGGATTGGCCATTTATGTTTATATCCATGAGAAGGACAAAATTCTACTGGATTCAGTAGACTGAATACCAAGAGAATAGAGTATAATTATGGAATTTTTATATAATGTTTTAATGAAGATGTTCAAAATGCTAGTAGACTTTGAAGCTGTTGGTAGCACTGCCAAATGCTGTTGTTTTCTAGATGTTTGTCTGCATTAAAGGTAATTACATAGTAATCAGTGGCTTAGTCCCCAGGAAAGGGAAATTTAAGTCTCTGTTGCATTTCCCCATTTCATAAGTTTAGGACATCATCTTAGCATCAGAGCAGAATATGTTTTAGTGAGAATATAAATACAAGGTTTTTTTTATGAGGATTAGAGTTAATGAACACAAAACATTCGTTATTACTACTTTTGTGTGTGTGTGTGTGTATGTGTGAGAGAGAGAAAACGAGAGGGAGGAAGAATGAGGAGAGGAGAGAGAGATTTTTACTGGTCCTCTCTTCTTACAGTTATCACATACACACAGTGCAAAATAAAACCTGTATCTGCAGTCCATGAGGGTTTGTTTAATTTCTATTAATACCAACTTTATTATTGCTATTACTGATAATAATAAACAAGTTATTTTTACTTTACATTTATATAATTTCTCATTGAAGTGTAATTGACATAATGCATTACAATTTTAAAAGTATCTTCATGGGCGCCTGGGTGGCTCAGTTGGTTAAGCAATTGCCTTCAGCTCAGGTCATGATCCTGGAGTCCCAGGATCAAGTCCCACATGGGGCTTCCTGCTCAGCAGGGAGTCTGCTTCTCCCTCTGACCCTCCCCCTTCTCACGTGCGCCTCTCTCTCTTTCTCTCTCTCTCAAATAAATAAAATCTTTAAAAAAAATAAATTATCTTCATATATGTTGTAAAATTTTTATAGCAACTCAATGAGCAGGACAAGATAGCTATAACCTTATTTTAGAGTTGAGCTAACTTTGACCCAAAGAGATTCAGTGACTTAGTTATGATCAAGTGACTAGACAGTAAGAGAGCTGAGACTAAAACCAGTCTTAAAGGTTCTGCTTTGACCTATGGAAGCTAGGGTTCCTGCCACCCAGATGAATAGGTTATGGAAGAGTAGGATTGTTTACTTGGTAGACAAGGAGAATTTTGATATCTTTACCAAATGCTTTTTTGAAATCAAGTCTCCTTTTATACCACTGTTGACAAGATGGAACAAAATAGACTAGGGGACTGTGTCACTGGGTGAATTCATAACTGGTTTGGTAGCATGGTGCTGATTAGTGTCACCTTGAGAGTTTCTGGAAACATTCCAAAGGGTTTTGTCTTCAGCCTTACCTCTTCAGCATCTATGTGTGTTTTGTATGAAATTCAGGCTACAAGCTGATCAAATACTTGGATGATACAAAACTTAGAGTAATTGTGTTTCAAATCTGCTCTTTTCTTTCTTTAAGCTCCAACTACTTTCCTGCTCTTCAGTCAAAAAAGTGCCATCAACCGCATGGTGATTGATGAGCAGCAGAGCCCTGACATCATCCTTCCTATCCACAGCCTTCGCAATGTCCGGGCCATTGACTATGACCCACTGGACAAGCAACTCTATTGGATTGACTCACGACAAAACATGATCCGAAAAGCACAAGAAGACGGCAGCCAGGTAATTCAGGGCTCAGTTCAAAATCTGTTTCTTTGGCCGGGTAATTGGAGTAACCAACCATCCTATTTTACTTAATTCTTGAGAGAGAGAGAGAGAGAAAGAGAGAGAGGGAAACTAAAATTCTGGACCTAGTAGCTTTTTATCCTCCTAATGATCTTTGACTAAACAATTGATGATGGTGTTGGAATAAAAATTGTATAAGGAAAATTTATGCTCATATATTGGTAATGACTTTGTCAGTGCCACTCATACCTGTTTAGTTTTTTCCATTATGGTTCCATTTACATGGAATGTTAGAGGCTTTGAAATCAAGTAGACGTTGGTTTTGATCTTTGCTCTGTCACTCACTAGGATTCTTATGAACTTTTTTTTTAAGATTTATTTATTTATTTATTTATTTGAGAGCAAGAATCCTCAAGCAGACTCCCTGCTGAGTATGGAGCCAGACATGAGACTTGATCCCAGGACCCTGAGATCATGACCTGAACCAAAATCGAGAGTAGGCTGCTTAACGGACTGAGCCACCCAGGCACCCCTCTTATGAACTTGCTAGCTGAAAACTGTGCAAAGCGTATAGCCCACTATCTGTGACATAGGAGGTGGGGACTCAGTAAATAACAGTTCTGTTATTATTAACTATTTTTAGAAGGTTCAGAGGATAGGAAACCTATAACACACTCTCAGTAAAATTAAAAATATCTAGGATATGTTATCACTAACCTAATGATGTGGGGAGGCTATTATTTGGTGACTATGGGATGGAAATGAAAATACTATCAACAAATCTTGTCTATGCTTACACAGCAGTCACGGTGTGCGTACTGTTATCATACTACATGATTTTCTGTGGCTAAGCAGTTTTAGACTGGGATTACTATAATTATTTGTCTTCCTTATAGCAGTGATGTTGGATTTTGAGTGTATCAAAATTTAGGGAGATTGGATTACTAATTTTTGATGTCTTAATATCTCATGAAAAAAGGGCGAAGAGATAATATATTTAGGGGCTGTTGAGGGATCCTTGAGGGGGTATAGTTATAGTGGTGTTATTATACAGCCGAGGACACAGAAGATAAATGAGATAGCCTCATTAAGATACATGTTACCTCAGAGTTGCCAAGTAAAAGAAATATCATTTATTTGGGTAGGGCAGATGAACTAAACCTCTCTAATTGCTTTGCTTTGTTAAAAAAAAAGTTTTTTCCAGTGGTTTGAGGATTGGAGCAAGACATGACTGGTAGATGTGGTTTATAGTCCTAATTGCTCTTGTCTCTATAAGCAGTTTCTCCCCTTCAGCACTGTTGACATTTTTTAGGCCGTGTAAATCTTTGTTGTGGAGGGATGACCTGTACATTGTAAGCTGTTTAACAGCATCCCTGACCTCTGTCCACTAGATACCAGTTAATAGCCCCATAGGTATGGCAATCCAAAATGTCTCTACACCGTTCCAAAGGTCCCGAGTTAAGAACCACTGCTTTAGTGGTATTTCTAAGGGGTGGTTCTGGCTCCATTTGTCTCTAGTTTACAGGAGACAGCTGCCACCTCCTCACTCTGATCAGTGCACTTCAGGTTCCTTGAGCAACTAATACGGCCTCAGCTCCCTCATCTGTCCCATGTCATAATAACCAAAGGGAACATCTGAAATGCATGGTAACAAAGAAGCACATTACCCATAAAAAAATGTATTAAGAAATGTCCGGTGAGACTGTAAAGTTCCTTCTCAGGTTTGTAACCACGGACGTGTAAGCATTGTGAGTGATCACCTCAGGGCTCTCTGGCTTGGAGTCTAATTTTCTATGTGTATGTCTTTTTCTTTCCCTAGGGCTTTACTGTGGTTGTGAGCTCAGTTCCAAATCAGAACCTAGAAATACAACCCTATGACCTCAGCATTGATATTTATAGCCGCTACATTTACTGGACTTGTGAGGCCACCAATGTCATTAATGTAACAAGATTAGATGGCAGATCAATTGGGGTGGTACTAAAAGGCGAGCAAGACAGACCTCGAGCCATTGTGGTGAACCCGGAGAAGGGGTATGTTACTAAAGTTCAGCTCATGTGTTATTTACCTTTAAGTATCCTGTGCTCCAGTGAAAAACTTGATATTCTCCATCCACCTGCCCCTGCCTTTTCTTATATACTTGCTTTCTCTGATTTTACTGCCTAGAATTTCTTTCCTTAGTCACTATTGCTATAGTTCTAATTTCTAACCATACCTTCAGGACCATTGGAACCTCAACATCCTCTACGAAGTTTTCCTTGATCTACCCCACCCAGGCAGGTGTGATTTTCCCCTCTCCCAGGTATCCAGCCCTCTGTATCTGTGCCTCTCTAGTTATGCTTAGTCCTCTACCTTACACTTAATTGTTTTTCAGGTTATATTTTCTACTAGACTTCAGGTTCCTTTTTGACAAGAACTAATTAATACGTTTTCTTTCATTCAATACAGAGATTTACATTTGGTCAACAGTACTTATTTGCACCTGAATGAATAAGGAATTCATCAGGGGAAGTAGCTTATTTCAAAAGAGTTACAGGAAAGAGATGAACTCTAGAAGTTAAATATGAGAAATAATTCATATGTGACTTATTTTTAGATATGAAATAGACTGAAGGAATTTAAAATTTGGTGTTCAGGTCTTCCTGGTTAACTGTTCTTTTATTTCTTTTATTTTATTTATGTATTGTAATATTCCAAAAGCATAGGTATGCCTGTGTCTGTCACTTCATTTTAAAGTAATCTCAACACCCAGTGTGGGGCTTGAACTCACAACCCTTGGGATCAAGATTTGCATGCTCCACCCACTCAACCAGCCAGGCACCCTTATCACTCATTTTATTAATCCATGAAAATTAGCTCCCTAAGAACTTCTTTGTGCCCTGTGTTACTATTATTGAACGTAATAAAAGTATCCCATGGCCTCTAAAAATATATATTTTAAAACTTTTAAAAATAAGATTTTAAAATACTCCTTTATTTTAAGAATATTCTCATTTTGTATGGTTTCTTACTTTGCTGAACTTATTGTTTCTTCCTTTCTCTTCAGGTATATGTATTTTACCAATCTTCAGGAAAGGTCTCCCAAAATTGAACGGGCTGCTTTGGATGGAACAGAACGGGAAGTCCTCTTTTTCAGTGGCTTAAGTAAACCAGTTGCGTTAGCCCTTGATAGCAGATTGGGCAAGCTCTTTTGGGCAGATTCAGATCTCCGGCGAATTGAAAGCAGTGATCTCTCAGGTACCCAAGAGATGTATTTCCTTATTTTGAGTTATTGAGATGATTCATTAATAGAATTTGTATTTTTCTTCCATTGTATTATTTTTATGTACGTTTCTTTACAGTTCTATTTACTAAAGGGTGGTTAGCATCATGTTGATTGGGAAGTACTTTTTCTTTTTTTTTTTTTTTTTAAAGATTTTATTCATTTACTTGACAGAGACACAGCGAGAGAGGGAACACAAGCAGGGGGAGTGGGAGAGGGAGAAGCAGGAAGTACTTTTTCTTCAACCATCAACATGATTAGTTCCTCTCTTATCTAATAATTTCCTAATTTTCTTGATTTGGGCTCTGTAAATAATGTATTTCTAATGCATCACTTCTCCCTTCCTAATTCTTATGCTCTAGTTTATGTTCTTACCTTCTCTGGCCCCAGGTTCTAGCCAGTGAAATCTCGTCCCTGCTGATTTTCCCCCCTGAAAGCTTATACACTGTTCCTAAATTAATTTTCTGAAGCGTGGTTTCTAATCATGTCGCTGCTACTAAAAAAATCTTCAGGATAGTCTCATAACCTGAAGAAAAAAGTCTAGTTGTATTTTCACAAACCCATCGTCAAACTCAAATAATCATACCATTGTTGGTATTTTAACCAAATTAAATCATTTGTTGGTTCTTCATATTTACTTTCTTATTTGTCTTCACACCTCTGTCTACAACATAGTTACTTCACCTCCACCCCCACCCCGAATTTCTGATGTCCAAATAACTCTGTATGGCCTTACTAGTGATCAGGTAAATGAAATTAAAATAATACACTATTTATGTCTACCAGAGTGGCAAAAATATGTTAAAGTTGATTATGACCAATATTGGTCAGAATGGTAGAGAATGGCATGCTCTCATGTACTTTGGTATAAGTGGAATTGGTAAGATCTTTTTGGAGGGCAGTTTGTCAGTGAATTTCCCTTCTAGATAGCTTTTTTTTTTTTTTTTTTTTTTTTTACAGAAATACCCATTTGTACAGGGGTCCCTGCTTAGCATTATTTATAATAGTCTGTCACAGGGAAATACATTCTGGTATATCTAGTGTATAGAATATTACAATCATTCAAAAAAATGAGGTAGATTTGTGTGCACTGACATAGAAGGATAATTTTTAAAAACTAGGTTGCATAACAATGTTTATTAAGACCTAATTTTGTTTAAAGTTTATTTATTAAAGATTTTATTTATTTGAGAGAGGGAGTGAGAGAGAAAGAGCGGGGGAATAGCAGAGGGAGAGGGAGAAGCATATTTCCCCCTGAGCAGGGAGCCCGTTGATGTGAGGCTCAATCCCGAAGGCACATGCTTAACTGACTGAGCCACCCAGGTGCCAACAAATTTTGTTTAAAATTTAAATTAATTTTATATACGTATACACACACACTATATTTGATGATAGCTTGCCCTCTAAAAATATTTATACTATGAAAAAAAATATATTTATACTATGTATACACATGTGTACATATACACACATACCAATAGGTGTACATACTGTTAAGAAACATGAGTATATATGTTTGTATTTTCCTCAAGGAATAGGCAAGGAGATACACCTTGAGAAAGGTCTGGAAGGCTAGCGTACTAATATGTTAAGAGTATTTATTTCTGTATCATTTGAATTTTTATATGTTTGAATACATTTGTAATTTTTTTAAAAACTAGAAAATGCTCTTATCTTTTCAGGTTCAAATGCCTCATTCCATTATGCCTTCTCTGAGTCTAGTCATGCACACATTTATACATGTGTGTACACATACCTCACATGGTATATTCTTTCCCTCATCTGATCACCTGTAATCTCTTATGTCACCTCTAATTTGAATAATAGTTATTTATGTTATTGTTTTAATTCTTATTAGTCTTGAGGGTGGGGTTTTTCCCCCTTCTTTCCTTTTCTCTCTCTTTTCATTTATGATGTTTGTTTTTCATTTTAAAAGTAATACATGTCAATTAAAGACAGTTTAGAAAAGAAAAAGAGAAGAAAAAAAATCCAAAACACCATCATTAGTAACACTTAGTAATACTTTAGCTTCCATTTTTTTAATGCATTTTTTTCCAGTCTTAATTATGAAATGGTTCCAACATACAGAAAGTATAAAGTTCCTGCCATCAGCTTTGTTAAATCTAGTGTTTGGGGCCATATGTGCTCCCCTTCCTCCTTGTCTTCCTTGAGATGAACCATTAGAGAGAATTCTGAAGCCCTTACGTATTCCTTCCCAATTCTTTTCTCCTCCCTCTTTTCCCTGAGGTAACTTTTGATGTTTTTCATTTTCATGCATATTTTGTTCTGTGTGTGTGTTTTTTACCATACATACACACATATGCATTTAAACTTTTTTTTCCACTTTTTAAAGTTAATATAATAGTCTCATGTATTCCTTTGTAGCTTGCTTTTTTCAGATATATCATGGATTTGAGATGATCCCTGTTGATCCACAATTCTATGTCATTTATTTTCTCCACTAAATAGTATTCATTGTATGAATCATTCTACACTTTATTCTATCTAAACTGCTGTTCCCAGTATTTTTGGCATTAAAAGCAGTGCTTTAATGAGTATTCTTGTGCAGATATTTGAACATTTCTCTGTGGCCTAAACCTTGTAGTAGTATTGCTATGTAATGTGCTATGTATACATTCACCTTGAATAGATACATCCAGGTTGCTGTTCAGGGATTATATCAATTTAAAATCCTCACCAGAAATATAGGACTTGTCCCTCCAATATTTGGTATGTTGGACTTCTAAATTTTTACCAATCCAATAGTTTAAAAGTTATATCTCATTAATAAAATTGCATTTCCCTGTTTGATATTAACTTATTGGTCATTCATGTTTCTTCCGTGAATTGCTATTTATTGCCCATTTTTCTATTACTGATTTTTAAAAATTCTTTAACAGACTATTAATCCATTATCAAGTTACATATATATTGGAGGAGAACTGGCATGTTTAAGAAATTCAGTCTTTTCATCCATGACTATAGTATATCCCTCCATTTGTTTAGGTCTTGTTTGATAATTTTTAGTACATCTTTACACTTTCCTCTGTAGAGAAGGATAGGATATATATTGCATAAATCTTCTTCCAATTTGTAATTTACCTTTTCATTCTTCCAGTGGCATCTTTAGATGAAAAAGAAGTTCTTAATTTAATGTAGTGCAGTACAGTTTACTAATTTTTCCCATTATGATTAGTGCCTTTTATGTTCTATTTAAGAAATCTTTGCCTACTACAGAGTCACAAAGATATTTTGTGGGTTTTTTTCCCCCTAAACTTTGTTTAACTTTTCTCATTGAAATCTGTGACCCATTTGGAATTTATTTTTGTGCATGTTGTGATGTAGCGATTAAAAAAATTTTTTTTTCCCATATTGTTTGATTTAACATCAGTTTTTGAGAAGATGATTCTTTCTCCACTGTTCTCTAACATCATCTTTGTTATAAATGAAGTGACTGTATTTGTATGAGTCTGTTTTTGGAATCTAATGTTTCCTTGGTCACTTTGTCTTATGTGATATTTTATTGTCTTAATTGTTACAATGTTATAACAAATTTATCTGGCAGTGTTCGTCTTTAGTATTTCTTTAAGACGGCTCTTGATCCTTTGTATTTCCATTTACATTCTAGAATCTGCCTCTGAGTTTCCACTAAAAATGAAAGAAACCTAGTAGAATTTTGACTGGGTTTGCTTTGAATTTACAGGTCAATTTAGGGAGAATTATTATTTTTTATAATATTAGTCTTCCAAACCATGAACATGGTATATCCATTTATTTAGAACTTTAATTTCCCTCAATGTTTTATAGTTTTCTGTGTAGAGATCTTTCCCATCTTCCATTAGAGTTATTCCTTGGTATTTGAGGCTTTTGAATGTTTGTGGTAAAGAGTATTTTAAATTTTTAATATTTCATTTTCTGACTATGGCTGGAGTATAAAAATAGTTTCCTTTTGTCTCCCATTCTGTTATATTGAGCTTGTTCCCAGGGACCTTGCTAAATTCAGTTGTCTGTGGTTTCTTAAATCATTTACCTACAAATTAATGAAAGTTTCTTTTTCCTTGTTGCGTTATTGCACTGGCTAGGACCTCCAATACAGTGTTGAATAGACTAATAGAATCCTTGGGTTTTTTGATTTTGTTTTATTTTTGTTTTTCTTGATTTGGAGGAAAGCATTCAGTACTTCATGATTAGGTATTATGTTTGCTAAGGTTTTTCTGTAGATCACATTTTTATCAGATTAAAGATTTCCTCCTAGTTTGCTAGAATAAATCAAACTTGGCATGATACATTTTCCTTTTTATATATTGCTGGATTTTGTTTAAGATGTTTGTGTCTATGTTCATGAGAATGATTACCCTATAATTTCCTTTCTTATAATGTACTTGACGTTTTGCCATCAAGGTTACATTGGCCTCATGAAAAGAATTGTTTCCTCTTTTTCTATTTTCTGAAAAAGGTTAGTATAATGTTGATAGTTGGGTTTTTTTTTTTTTCTTCCTTATATATTCACAATCAAACACTTTTGTCATGGGATCTCTTTCATTCAGCTTTATATTTTTAGCCTCCCACGGAGCCTTTTACTACGATTATATTTAGTACATGCATAGTTTATTGAGTAAATGAACATGTCTTTTCATTGTTGGTTCCAGTGTTTTACTTATAACTGCCATTAAAGTAGATCAGGTCCTCATCATGTCTGGGATCCTGCATTGACACTGTTGACAGCTCTTTTTTCTTAAGGACCACTTGAAACCATCCTTATGTTACCACCAGCTAATCTTTTTTTATTCACTCTTACTATTTTAGGTTTAATTTTAATTTTCATCAAAGTGATACATGTAAATATTTGTGGAAATCAAATGCTTCTACTTAGTTTATAACAAAAAACAAGTCTACTGTTCTACGTACTCTCAGTTCCCATTCTGAGGCATCTACTTTGTTATAACTTGCTTTAAAACAGCTATTTCTTGGTTTTTCAGTTTTAGACATCACAAATTGACTTCCTTTGATGGAAAATAAAATATTTGCTGTCTTAAACTGTATAGCCCCAAAATACTCATATGAACTCTCTCCCCATCCTCCCAGGATAGTTATAATTTTTAAGTTCATACTTAATTGTTATTTATGGCTATGAAAATATTACCATTAGCATGTTTCTTTCTATAGCTTTTTTCCCCTGAAGTTAATCTTGTCTAATGTAAATATTGTTTCAGTACCTACAGAACAGATGCATCAAGCAATCCATCTTTTTTCTTTTTAATTGGAAGCACTACCTCTTTATCATCTTGCTCCAATCTGGATTTGCTTGCTTTTTAAAGGCCAGCTTCCTTTCACTATTATTCTGGAAATGCGCTTGCCAGTCTCCTTGGTGCTGAAACCTGTTTACTTGATTCCATTTCTCAGGCTAATTTCTTTTTCTTGGTAGAACACATCCTCTGTTAGCTTCTTGAAAGGAGTTTATACGAGGTTAAATTCATTTATTTGTCTGAATTTTTTTCCCCTCACACTTGGTTGATAATTTGGATGTGTATAGCATTCATGTTCCATAACTATTTTCTCCCAGTTTTGAAGGCAGAGCTCTGTTGTCTTCTATTGTTGTTGGGAAGTTTGATGTCATTGTGATTCCTGACTATTTATATGTGATCCTTTATTTTCCCCTCCAGAAGCTTTTAACATCTTCTCTTTTTCCCAGATGTTCTAGAACTTAATGATAATGTGCCTTCATGTGATCCCTCCCTGACTTCCCTCTTTGTTTCTTTCTTTCATTGAACTGGTTACTAGGTGAGTCCTTTCTATCTGGAAACTTACCTCTTGAGTTCTGGGAAGTTGGTTTTTGTTTTTGTTTTTTTGTTTTTTAATGTTTCTTTAATGATTTGTTTTCTTATTCTGGAACTTTTACTCAGTTGTTGGATCGTGACTGTAACTGTATTTTTCTCACATACTATCCATCTCTTTTATCTTTTTGTTCTGCTTTCTGAGAGAGTTTTTCAAATTTATCTTCCAGCCCTCTTTTGGGATTTTTTTCCAGGTATCATATTTTTAATTTCCAAGGACTCTTGTGTTCTGGGATGCCTTGCCCCCATCAAAACATCCTGTTCTTTAGGTTTTTGTTGCTATTGATTCGGTTTTTTTTTCTGCTTTTAATTCCATCTGTTTCGCTAAATTCCTTTATTCTGTTTTGGGCTTTGAATATAAAAAAGTCATTTTCTTTAAATATGTGGTGATCCTTAGTTGTCTGTATTTAATAGTGAGGCATTAAAATGCTGCCTTTTCCATTGCTGCGGCCTGTGAAGGAGTGGACATCTTATGGACACCTGGCTGTTTTCTAATGGGACTCCAAGGTGACACTATCTGAAGTTCTTTTTTCTTGGATACCTCAGTTTTTTATTTGATTATTGTTGTTTTTGGTTTGTTTTTCCTATAGGGGTATCTTCTGGTCTTCTGTAGGAGGATAAAAGCTGGCTGCTAATATTCTTGGAATCTAGTGGGAAAAGGGCACAACTTATATTGGAGAATCTCACCAGTTAGAAAGTAGACTTTTAATTAATTCCCCTGTAAAATCCCATTTTTGGCACTACCTCTTTGTCTGGTATGTTAAAATCTGGTTCAGCCTCTTTAGAAAATGTATCTTCAGTCTTCTAGTAAAGGAAGGGAGGAGACCCAGGAGCTGAATAACTTCTTGTACTTCTTTTCAGTCCGTCCTTTTCTCTCAGCCCCAGCCATGTAACTCTTCCTTTTGCTCCATCCTAAATTACCTGGTGCTTCCAGTTTCTGAGCTAATTGATTTTGTTGTTGGCTTCGCCAACTGCAGGCATTTAGCTTTCTCTGGGCTACTATGTCCCTGGTCTGCTCCAACTTCTGAATTTTATATCATTTTGTGCTCTGCTGTCCTGTTTGTCCTTATGGATTATACCTTAATTTTTTACTACAATTTTAGGAAGGAGCCTAAGAAAACTTGTGTTTAACCCACCTTGGATCTGAATGTTGACTTAGGCAGTGCCTTCTCATCTGGAATATCTCCCCGTTTTTCTCCCTTTTTAAAACTTAGCTTTATGCTTGCCTCTTTCCTAGAACTTTCCCTGATATTTCTAAAATACAAACTAATGCCCTTCTTTGATTAAACTCTCATCACTTAAGAACCATGAATATGTTCTATAGATATTTGAAGGACTATTATGGTGAGCAGGGAGGGAATGAATATATTTTTTTTCTTTTTGAATGAGGGAGAAACGGGATGGAGAGAGTGGGGCACAGATTGCAACACACTGAATGAAAGAATTTTCTTATAGTTCAGCAGAACAGTTGCCTGTTAAGAGTTAACATCCCATATCTGGGATGTTGTAGAAAGAATTCTTACTTTGTGGTAAGGTTGGAACCAGGTCAGTCATTTGAATGAGTCATTTTTTTTTTTAATCAGTCATTTTTTCTGTGTTCTGAGTGGCCAGATGGAGTGTGGGTGGAGTGGTTCTTCACAGAGGCCTCAGGTATACTCAGCAAGTAGGGGAGGCCAAGAGTTCAGAGCTCTGGGCTCTAGCCAAAGAAGTCCCATTTTTATCTGATTTATATGTTAAGGCTTTTCATAAAATGTAATTTGAGAAATGGACTATGCTTTAAAAAATTTTTTTGAAAGTTACTCTGTTTTTTCCATGTTTCTGTGAAGTAGAGTATTTACTATGTATTGGGCACTTACTTGCTTTTGTTTGTACTTAAATGTCTAGTCTGTTCTCTGGTATGTATATATCTTCTCAGAATGATTTTTAATTTTTGTGATAGATACCTTATATTTTCTATTTCAGTACTTTTGGAATCTAACTGGTATTTGATCAGTAGTTGCTGAATGTGTGATTTGACCCACATGAATCATTGCTATTGCACGTTCTCCTTTCCAAGGTGCCAACCGGATAGTATTAGAAGACTCCAATATCTTGCAGCCTGTGGGACTGACTGTGTTTGAAAACTGGCTATACTGGATTGATAAGCAGCAGCAAATGATTGAAAAAATTGACATGACAGGCCGAGAGGGTAGAACCAAAGTCCAGGCTCGAATTGCCCAGCTTAGTGACATTCATGCAGTGAAAGAGCTGAACCTTCAGGAATATAGTAAGTGCTGATGGCATACTGTTAATTGCAGGACTCATGTTTGTTATAAGAAATTAAGATAGAATTAAGATGTTCTTCTGTGTCTTCTTACCTTTTTAAAATTTTACTTTTTTTTTTTTAAGATTTTATTTATTTGACAGAGAGAGACACAGCAAGAGAGGAAATACAAGCAGGGGGAGTGGGAGAGGGAGAAGCAGGCTTCCCACCAAGCAGGGAGCCTGATGTGGGGCTCGATCCCAGGACCCGGAGATCATGACCTGAGCCCAAGGGTGATGCTTAACTGAGCCACCCAGGCGTTCCTTCTTACCTTTTTCTTTAAAGATTTTCATGCACTTTTAATTTTGCCATTTTTTAAACTCTGTGTTTTTAAAGCCTTACATCAAACTCACCTGGGAGCTTTTTCAAATTAAACACCTTTTCCCCATAAAACAGAAGTGGGGGAAAGAAATGGTCTGGCTCATTTTCAAAAATTTCCTCAGATACAACAAGGACTGCTTGTCAAGCCTTCTTTCTCACCTTCAGCCCCTTTAAGAATACTGGTATAAAGTATATATTTCTTTTGATCCCTGTGTGCCCCCATAGTTTGAACAAAAGCAATAAATATAATTATCTTGGAATAACCTTATTAAGCAAAAACAAATTAAAAATTAGTGTGTTCAGAAGTTTTTGAAATGAACTTAGAGAAAACTGATTAACAGATGCTTTGTTTTCTTCCTCCTAGATAAATTTCTCAATTCTCAGCTTAGAAAAGTACCCATAAATTTTTTTTTAATTTACTGAAAGCTTTTAAATATGGCTAATCATCTTGCCTTAATTTCTTGTTAATATCAAAAGACTCCTCATAGCAGTCACTACTGTGGGTTTTGTGTGATTGTACCAGGAATGCTAATGTTAAATGAAATATTAAAGAGAGAACTTTTGAACGCTTGAACTTCTCAACCTGAGGCTTTCAAATCAAACTGGAATATGAAAGGAGAATAGTGGAATGAGAGCACCATTGCTTGTTCAGGTCTTCATTTTGTTGTCACTGTTCGTGAACTTAGAAGTTAGAGGCATTTGAGAATTAGAATTGTTGCCATTCTAAGTTAATGCATGTGACTCATGCTGAACATTTAATAGAAATAAGGCCTTAATTTCTAAGTTATTCAGTTGACAAATGAATCTTTTATTGCAGAAAATCTCAGTGGAGGTTTTCAGAATTTTAGGGGGGATGTCTTTTTTTATAATTAAATACTTAAATACGGTTTTATATTTGGAAAAACTTTTTTTTTTCAAATTTCTAATAACATTAACAAGAGTGAGATTTTTGTTTATCAGTAGTGTCATGGGGGCACCTGGTTGGCTCAGTTGGTTAAGCGTCTGCCTTCAGCTCAGGTCATGATCTCAGGGTTCTGGGATCAAGCCCTGTATCAGGCTCCACTCAGCAACAAGTCTGCTTCTCCCTTTCCTTCTTGATCTCTCTCGCTTTTGCGCTCTCTCAAATAAATAAATAAATAAAATCTTTTAAAAAAAAAAAAGTGTCATGGAATTAAAAGGTTGTGCTATATGTAGGTTGTGTATTCTAGTGTAATATGACTGATGTCTGTTTTGGGACATCTATGTAGTATAACCTATCTGCTCAGTTACAGACAGCTGCCTCCCTCAGTCTCATCAATACACACTGAAGCAGGACTGATGTGTTATTGAGAACACAGATAATAAATGGGTGGCTACATTAGATGCTGGTATTCTGATGACAGATGTCAAGTTGCTTACAACACAGGCTAAGTAGAAAATTCAAAGCAACTTCATTAAATCCAATTTGTAAAACAGACTTTGAAAAGTTGCCTAAGTTTGTATTTATTTAATTTATCCCAAATTTAAGGAAATTAAACATTAGTAACATTGCAAGTTACCTTTTGCAATTGACTAAGCAAATAATTTTGATTGAGTGGTTGCAATCCATGTGAACTTAAGTTTTTTTCTTCTAACGTAACAACTCTAATTTTCCGTATTTCATTAAGCTACAGTTTTTTGAGTAAAATCATCTTTTAGAAAGGTAGAATATCTGAGTTAAAGTCTTTGGAAGACTTTTTATATTTTAAGTAGAATAATGTCCAGGTCTCTGCATTCTCCTTAGCAATGTTTTTAGTTTCAATAATCAATTTTTTATATATATAAATATTTAAAGACTGGTTAATTTTGCATTATTAAATTGTCCTCATTTTCTTGTAATTGTGTAGGGATACAGTGAGGAATTATATTGTTAGTGGGATTAAAGTCCAAGGTAATTTTACATTTAGTTTTTCTTGGTAATTCATAAATAATTGATTTTGACTGAGCTGTCCTTTCTTCCCTTCCTCCTTCCCTCCCTTCCTTTTCCTTCTTGTTTTTCTTTTTCAGGACAGCACCCTTGTGCTCAGGATAATGGTGGCTGTTCACATATTTGTCTTGTAAAAGGAGATGGTACTACAAGGTGCTCTTGCCCCATGCACTTGGTTCTGCTTCAAGATGAGCTATCATGTGGAGGTAAATATGTTATTTTCTTGTGCAGGTCCAAATGCCGATTAACATGTTCTATGACTTAATCTGGCATTCTGTGATTTGGCAATGAAATTGCTCTTTCTCCTAACTTGATTAGTCACTTACATTCCATTCATCTGTACTATCTTAGCCTTTTGGGTTATTCTGAGAGGGAATCCATCCTAATCTTGGGAGTAAGGTGGAAGTGCCCTTTTTTGGGGGGGAATTAATCTTGTGAATGAATGTATTTCCTAATAATAAAGTAGCTTTTTTTCACCCCAGAGAGTATCAAAATGAATTAATTCTACCTCCTGTAATCTCCATCTACTGAATTCTAGATTCTACCAAGTTTACATATCATTGCAGGAAATATATCCAGTGAAAAGAACATTCTTTTATTCACACCTGTTGGTAGTTCCCTATTGTTTTTACTTATTTACCTAGCAAAAAAAAAAACAAACAACAAACTAATATCACTCTAATAATGTAGTAAATTGGTTCACTCACTCATGAGAGCGTAACAAATTGGTACATTCCTTTGTTAAAGCATAGTGTGGTGCCTGTCAAATAAATAAATAAAATCTTTTTTTTTTTTTAAGAATTTTTATTTATTGGGGCACCTGAGTGGCTCAGTCGGTTAAGCATCTGCCTTTGGCTCAGGTCATGATCCCAGGGTCCTGCGATCGAGCCCTGCATCGGGCTCCCTGCTCAGCGGGGAGTCTGCTTCTCCCTCTCCCACTCACCCTGCTTGTGTTCCCTCTTTCACTGTCTCTCTGTCGAATAAATAAATAAAATCTTTAAAAAAAAAAAAAAGAATTTTTACTTATTTATTTGACACAGAGAGAGAGCACAAGAGAGGGAACAGTAGAGGGAGAGGGAGAAGCAGGACCCCCCTGAGCAGAGAGCCCAATGCGGGGCTCGATCCCAGGACCCTGGGATCATGACCTGAGCTTGAAGGCAGCTGCTTAACAGACTGAGCCACCCAGGTGCCCCAATAAATAAAATCTTTAAAAAAAAACAGTGAACTTTGTTATATATATTTTACCACAATAAAAAAATAGCAAGTGTTTCCATATCAAGGTCCTAGGTTGTTACTCTAATAAGGCAAATCTTAGAAAAATTACCTTTATGTAATGGTAACATAGATAAAACTGAGTCAAAGATACCATTTCCACTTAGAAAATGTCTTTTAGAAGACCTTTGCATTTTTTCTTCACACTTAGTGATTATTTTTTTTTTAGGTTTTGTTTTTTTTTTTTTTGACAGAGACAGCGAGAGAGGGAACACAAGCAGGGGGAGTGGGAGAGGGAGAAGCAGGCTTCCTGCTGAGCAGGGAGCCTGATGCAGGGGTCAATCCCAGGGCCCTGGGATCATGACCTGGGCCGAAGGGAGACACTTAACGACTGAGCCACCCAGACACCCCTTAGTGATTATTTTAAATGTGTGTATTAAATTTTTAAAAAATATATGTATTAAATTAATGGAGCCTTTCAGCAAATATGTTACCAACATTCAAATCAAGATATACAGTGTTGTCATTAAGAAAAGTACCCTGGTGTCCTTCCATAGCCATTTCTCTTCCAGAAGTAACCACTATTCTGATTTTTATCCCCATAATTTAGCTTTTCCTGTTCTTGAACTTTAGGTAGGAGTCATGGCATATGTGTTCTTTTTGTGTCTGATTCTCGTGCTTAAGATTTTTGAGATTTAGCCATGTAGAGGAATGTATCAGTAGTTTGTTTCTTTTTATTGCTGAGTAGTGTTTCATTGTAAAAATATGGCACAGTTTATTCTCCTGTTGAGGGACATTTTAATTGTTTCGTTTTTTTGTTCTTAAGAATAAAACTGCAGGGGTGCCTAGGTGGCTCAAGTCAGTTAAGGGTCTGCCTTTAGCTCAGGTCATGATCCTGGGGTCCTGGGATCAAGCCCCACATCAGGCTCGCTGCTCAGTGAGGAGTCTGCTTTTCCCTCCACCAGTCTCCCTAGCCCGTGCTCTCTCGCTCACCCTCAAATAAATAAATAAAATCTTAAAAAAAAAACATTTTTAAGGGCGCCTGGGTGGCTCAGTCGTTAAGCGTCTGCCTTCGGCTCAGGTCATGATCCCAGGGTCCTGGGATTGAGTCCCACATCGGGCTCCCTGCTCAGCGGGAAGCGTGCTTCTCCCTCTCCCACTCCCCCTGCTTGTGTTCCTGTTCTTGCTGTCTCTCTCTGTCATATAAATAAAAATCTTTAAAAAAAAAGAAAAAACTTTTTTAAAATTAAAAATAAAAGAATAAAACCGCAGTCAGTGTTTGTGTATAAGATTTTTTTTTGTTGGGGTGCCTGACTGGCTCAGTTGGTGGAGCATGTGACTCTTGATCTTGGGGTTGTGAGTTGGAGCCCCACGTTGGGTGTAGAGATTACTTAAAAGTAAAATCCTTTTTTAAAAAAGTTTTTTTGGGGGGGGCACCTGGGTGGCTCAGTCGGTTAAGCATCTGCCTTTGCTCAGATAGTTAAATGTCTGCCTTCAGCTCAGGTCATGATCCCCTGGGATCGAGCCCTGCATTGGGCTCCCTGCTCAGCGGGGAGCCTGCTTTCCCTCTGCCTCTGCTGCTCCCCCTACTTGTGTTCTTTATCTCTCTCTCTCTCTCAAATAAATAAATAAAACCTTAAAAAAAAGATTTGGGGTGCCTAGGTGGCTCAGTCGTTAAGCGTCTGCCTTTGGCTCAGGTCATGGTCCCAGGGTCCTGGGATCGAGCCCCGCGTCGGGCTCCCTGTTCAGCCAGGAGTCTGCTTCTCCCTCTCCCACTCCCCCTGCTTGTGTTCCTCTCTCGCTGTGTCTTTCTCTGTCAAATAAATAAAAAATTTTTTTTGGTAGTTTAACGTTGATTTTACTGTGGAGGTAAATGAAATACAGAATCTTAATTCATCTGCCTGACCTTCAAGATGTGTTTTCATTTGAGCCTGCCTTACCTACTCATCTCCTTTAGTATCTCACTTTATTTTTGCTTGGCTATTTAGAGTTTGATGATTACTGTTGCATGTTCTGTTTTGTTTTGCCTCAGTGGACCTGTGGTATTTCAGAGATGTTTTTTTCTTTTTGCATGCCGTCCTAAATCTTACTTATTTTTCAAGGAGCATCTCCTCATAATCTTTAAGCCTTCACTAGCTCTTATTGTTCTCCCCTTTCTCTGAATTGTAGCACTGTTACCACAGTTTGCCTGATACGCAGTTCAGAGTGATGTTTTGTGTTATATTCATGCGTCTCTGCCCATCCCCAGTCAAATTAAAAGCACTTTAAGGACATGGACCATATATTTTACCTATTTTTATTCTCCACATGATCTGGTATAGTGCTGAATACATAATAGGCTCAAATTCCCTCTCTAAATAATATCTCAAATTCCCCATGTAAAATGTTCACCTGTAATTTACTGTATTCTCTATTTTAAAGATAAAAGGTTTGGGGTGCCTGGGTGCTTCATTTGTTTAAGCGTCCAACTCGGTTTCTGCTCAGGTCATGATCTCGTGGTCATGAGATTGAGCCCCACTTCAGACTCTGCACTCAGCGCCGAGTCTGCTTCAGATTCTCTCCTTCTCTCTCTCCCTCCCTCACCTGTTCACTCTCTCGCAAATAAATAAAATCTTAAAAAAAATGTTAAAAGGTTTTCTGATCCATAGTCATATTAATAAAGTTATGTTATCTAGTGTATTTACTCACAGGTTTTTAAAAGAAGTCAGCAAGCCTGTGATACAGTAGTAAAGGCAATGGACTAAAACTAAGGAGACTGTCCTTCTGGTCCTATCTTTTATTTTTAATTATCCCTTGTTTATAGGAAGCTCTGTGACCTCGGGCAGTCACTTAGCTTCTCTGAGCCTCAGTTTCCTCATTTGCAGAAACAAAGAAATTGGGCTTGAATGGCAATTCTCAGAGTGACCTCAGCAACTTTCACATTTTTAAAAATTATTGAGGACCCCAAACAGCTTTTGTTTGCATAAGTTATGTTTATATTTCGTGGTTAAAATTAAAACCAAGAACTTTAAAAAATATTTATTAAAAATAACAATAATAAACCCTTACATGTTCTCAAGTTAAACCTGTTAAGAAAGTTAACTATATTTTCTGAAGCAAAATAATTTTGGTGAGAAATGTGACATTGTTTTTACATTTTTGTAAATCTCTTCAGTGGTGGCGGGATTCTCATGTCTACTTCTGCATTCAGTCTGTTGTCGTATATGGTTTTGGTTGAAATATGTAAGGAAATTTAGCCTCATACAGAAGTGTAATTGGTGAACGGAGAGCTATAGTAATAGACTTTTCAAATAATTATGCATATATACTGAATTCTATACCAGATACTGCAGTGGTAGTTTTCTGTAGGTTTAGTTGCCATGTGGAATTTGAAACCATATTTTTTATAATCTCTTATATTAAAATCCATTCATCTATTTTGTGCTCTGAATGAATATTTTACCCAGGCATGATTTTGTAACCTTACACCATGGTCATTTGGAATACTAGAATTCCAATCAGAAATTCTAGATCTTCAGATTTTAGACAATATCAAAAACACATGTTTATATCACCACCAATCTCATTAGAAAAAACTTTTAAGTAGGGGGAATCTGTCAGGCTTGCAGTGTTGGATACAGGTTTTCCAAAATTATAATTTCTGGTTGAAAGCTCCAGTGTTATAATATGCTGCAAAAGTACAGTGTTATGATTTGCCATTGTTTTCTTTGAAGTAATAGGCTCACTAATTCATTTTTTATTTAAATTAATTAACATGTAATGTATTATTAGTTTCAGTGGTAGAGGTCAGTGATTCATCAGTCTTATATAATACCCAGTGCTTATTACATTACTTGCCCTCCTTAATGTCCATCACCCAGTTCCTCCATCCTCCCACCGCCTCCCCTCCAGCAACCCTCAGGTTGTTTCCTATGATTAGGAATCTTATAGTTTGTTTCCCTCTCTGATTTCATCTTGTTTTATTTTTCCCTCTATTCCCCTATGGTCCTCTGTT